TGCTGTGCAAGAGACACTAGAAAGGGATAGCTGACAAGGAAAAAATTAAAAATTGGATAAAAAGTAAATGAATAATGTCATATTACTAAAAAGATGAGAGGCTAATTTGTGCCGACTTTTTGCTAATTTTGTTCAAGCCTCAAAATGAGGAGCTGTCACCCGTTCTGTGTAGCGCTGATGACAGTGCCAATGATCCATGAAATAAGCTGCCGCTGGCTTTGTTCTGATAAGAATGAACAAATCTGCACAGTGTTCGGCTCCCAGAATCTCATTTTCATACTTGCATGCAGGCTAAAAGAAATAAGCTGTTTGCAGGCTTGATTAATCAGACATTGGAGGGGTTTTGTCTCTTTGATCTCTTTCGTCTCCTAGGTAACTTGCTTGACATTAATGTTGAGCTTGAGTAAAGACAATCAGGAATTGTCGACCAAACTGATATAAAAATTAAAGACCTTAACACTTTAAGTACTCCAGTAATGGTTCCGCTTTACTTCAGAAAACATCTGTTTTCATTTAATTAAAGAACAAAAGAGAATGGCATAAATATTTCTCATAGAGACCCATTATTCCATAAAAAGTTAAAGTATGATAATTGGTATTTTTAAATAAGTGCCTTGAAAGTGTTCAAAAGGGAGGAAAACTTCATAAATCTGTTACAAGCTAGTAATTTTGAGATGAGTAAAATATTTTATGAAATGGATAAGAAGTTTATAGATGTGCTAGATTAAGCTGTTTGAATCAGATGCTTCAAATGATTATCAGGAAACTCTATAATGACAACATTTTGCAAGCGGTACTAACTTTATTTTGAAGTTAAAAAAAAAATCTGTACTATGTTTATAAGGATGTGCCGTTAGATCTTATTTTACAACCCAATATGATTTACACACACTAAACCTGTAAAATTGAAAGGAATTAAAAAAATGTCGCAGTGCTTTTGCTTGAGGTTATGCAGACGCCTTTACAAATCTTCCAAGTGGCTATAAAGATGAACGCCTCAAGGGTCCAGCCAGGGCCCTGCTTTTCCAACCAGCTAAAGCCCTTATCTTAAATCCAAGCAAAGTACCATTAATCTTTTTGAAAGACCTTTTATGGCTTTTAATATATCCCAAATTAGAACATTTTACACCCTTGGTTCCTGAAATATGGTGATAAAAAGCCTTTAGAGCTTAATTTTCCTTACCGCATGCTCTGACCAATTTGCAGTTCTTTGTGATAATGTTTAGACACCTTAATTAAAATGCAGCAAAATATTGGATGTTCTATATGGAAAATGCTGATACTTTGGCTACACATACAAGAAATTCTATGTGTATTTTTATTCTTGTAACAAAATTCTTACATTGTGTTGCTGTAGTTATCTGATGACCCCAAACTGGTGTTTTAAAATACAAAACCATTGACCAAGCTTTGGTAATGTTTACATTGGGCAAGAAGGCGCATTTTCCTTTTTATAGAAGTGAAAGGGGGATTCCTATTCGTGTATTTTATTTGCTTGTAATATGGAAATGTGGCACGATAGTCTTTTATGTTCTGGAACTCGGGTTAGTCATCTTGACTGGAAAAGTACATTTCCTCTCACATTCTCTTCTGTTGAAGGCCACATTATCCTTTTCTATTTCTAGGTATTCTTGTCCTTTTTCTTTCTCTACAGAAATAAGTGAAACACGTTCGTTCATTTTAAGCATGTGAAGGACAAAAGAGGCTGCGGGTTTTCACCATCATAAGCCAAAAGTGTTTTTTTTTTTTTTCCCAGTAAAAAAATAATTTATGTGTGTATATATACATACATATATCTACCAGATTCATTTTCATGTTTACTGGTTAAAGAGCATTCCATTTAATCTGGCCTGCAGTGTATGTAGTGAGAAAATAAATCTTTCACAGGAGCAAGTTTATTTGAAAAGGTTCCTATGTACCTGGTAGTTTATTTTACTAGTTCACAAAGTGACGGACCCTCTCTTGTAAATACTTGCTTATTAAGTATAATGAATTCTTCTTAAAAGCATCTTGATCGTGATTGCGGTAACTTTGCTATGATGAGTTTGGCTTTGTTTTTAGCCTTGTAGGAACACTAGAAGTGTTTCCATGTGACTGGTAAAGTGGAGAGACAGTCCATTGGCGTTCTGAGGTGTTTCCTTGATTTGTCTGCCTTACATCTATGAAAGCTATACTAGGAAATTTTAGTATGTCAAAGTGTAGAGACTGGGTGAGATTGGGCATGCCTTTAATCTCAGCACTGGAATTGCAGAGGCAGGCAGATCTTGGTGAGATCAAGGCCAGCCTGGTCTACATAGTGAGCTCCAGGCCAGCTGGGGCTACAGGGAGACCCTGTCTTTAAAAAAAAAACAAACCCAAAAAACAAAACAAAAAATGTAGAGCTACAGCTTAATTTCAAATTTCAGGGAAATGATTTTCACTAATGGTTAATGGTACATGGGAAATATGGTTCAGATCATTTTTGTCTGGTAGCCAAAGTATAGGCTGAATTTAGATAGAACAAGAAGTAGCTGAGTAGATCTTTGGGGGGGGGGGCTTGACACATTATGTCAGATATCACATTTGAATTTGATATGCAAAGATAGGAATGGAATTAACGGAAAACATATTTAGGGGAATGGGGCAGGAAAGAGGTTAAGTCATCAATGTTGGCAGCTTACTATGCATCCTAAACAGGGGTCACAAGCTGCATTTTGTGACAGGACAGCTTCTCAGGTACACTTTGTGCTCCCCAAGTGTTGGGTTGTCCCACCACACTTCCCTGTTCCCTTGCATTTAGGTGCAGCCATGTGATTTGCTCTGAGCGGAAACAGTCTGTGCCATCTTGGGACTGTGGCGTTCATGAGCCAGGAAGTTTCCTTTCAGTTCCGCCTCATTATCCTGAAGGCCACCTGTGGAGATATTTGAGATGGATGAGAACCGTGCCTGTCCTCAGAAACTTCACAGGAAACAAAAGTTCAGCCATTGTGACTTGGGGATTTGTTTGGTACTGCACTGTCCACTAGCCTAACCTGACCAGCAGGTGCTAACTTGAAGTTTTACATGTATAAGTACAAAACTTTTCAACAGATAAGGATTCCATCTTAATGAAAAATGATTCCACAGTACCCTCTCAGAGTTTAGTTTTCTTCTGGGATGTAGTGATGTTCAGTTTCTTGATTCTTAGTTTTCAATTTTGTGTGTGTGTGTGTGTGTATGTACGTACATGTGTACTATGGCTTGGGTTTGGAAAATAGAATAACCTTGAATGTTGATCCTCATCTTCCACCTTGTTTGGGAGAAGGTCTTGTTTTGTTCACTTTGGCTGTTCCATGTTGAGGCCGTCATCCATCTGCACTCACTGTTTGAGAGGAAGCCACTCTGCCTTGGTGCTGTGTCTCCAGTGCCGAGAACGGTGCCTGGCAAAGCATTTGTGCTTCCTAAGGCTCCGAAGTCAGTGTTCTTTGAAAAGATGATGGATCGGCACAGCTGGCATGGCTTGAGCTTTGAGAAGATACTGTGGTTGCTCTGCTCTCTGGAGTGCGTGTCCAGCTTCTGCGTGGTCCTTTGCTTCAGTGGCGTTCCTCTGGTCAGCCGGGTCAGCACCGGGGTTGGCCGTCAGCTTCCTTCCATTTGCTTTCTTTTAAAATACGAATTTTTTCCTGAACTGAAAGATCAGATCTGGTTTTTGTCTCATTTGTAAACTCCAGACAGTTTCTCAATTACCACTTGTCTGCTCTGCCCTAGAGGACTGGTTCTCCAGGATAAGCCGAGAGGCATGTGGCACATTACAGACTTCACCTTCCTAAACCAACTTCTTGGGCATGTGCTTCCCGACATGCCTTCCTAGGCTGCCAAATAGATCCCAGAGCTCAGGTGTTGCTGTGCTGCCTTGAGTGGCTTCAACATCATTTCTTCTCCTTCACAAGCCCGCTTGTCTCCTCATACACAGTTGGTTGAGTGAAGGAATAGAGAAACCAGGAAATACCAGAAAGATTTAAAGGCTTTGTCATTTAACTTGGGCTTTCTTGTTTTTTTGCTTTCTGTTTGGAGGGCATCTAACTGTGCAGCTCTGAATGGCTCGGCACTCACTGTAGCCCAGCCTGGTCTCTGGCTGCAGCATTCTTCCTGAGTGCGGGGATTCCCACGTGTGCTTTCACACCGCCTGGCCTCACCTGGGTTCTTCTGAGTCTGTTTGAGCCGTCCATGTGGGTGGATGTTTTAAATGAAGAACCTGTCAAAGCTAGAGGTGCTGACATTCCTGCTCTGGAGGTACAGGGAACGCTCCACAGCCTGCAGAGGTTGGAGAAGTACAGAGAGGATTTAGAGGCCGAGTTGGAGACGGCCGTCTGGATGGTGTTCGTGCTAAATGCACCTTGTAGTGTTGGCAGTCAGGGAAAGCATGGACAGGGACCCTGCCTAGGAACAGCTGGGTCCTGGAGTCCAGCTTTTCTACTTTCTGGCTCCCCTTATACTCTTTTCTCTCTCAGAGACTTAAAAGCTGTTCCCCATCATGCAGAGCGCATTTATGAAGTAGTAATTAGCTTCCCCATGTTTCATTAATCCCATCTGTGACTGCCAATCAGAGCTTCAGATCAGCAGGCGATAACTGGTGTGACCATACTGAGTTGCTGTAATTCTAGCCCAGAGCAAGAAAAGTTGATGTCTCTGTCAGTCTGTTTGCAGCCTTATCAGGACGAATTCCTGTTCAGCCCACAGAATTGCTGAGCTAGCTTGAAGGGCTCATTACTACCTTTTTGGGCCCTCCAGGGGTCTGAGTTTGGGAAGGATTTCTACCCCAGCAGAGGTGCAGCTAGGGTAGCAGATCTCTGGGGAGGGGAGGGAAGTATGGCCATGTCTGTGTTCATCGTATTTTGTTCCAGGGGCCTGAGCATAAGGTTTCTACTTTTTAGATGTGGTTTTCCTAACCTTGTGCTCTCACTGTTTGTGTTGTAATTCTCATACTAGCTGGGATATTTCTTTTCAAATATTTTTTTCCTTTTCCCTTTTCTATATCTTAGCTCGGTGTGAAAATTGCCAAAGCAATTGCCTGCCACAAGTTTGTTAAAGCCAAAAAGGAGGCTGAAAACTCACAGGCTGCTCGAAAAAAGAAGAAACTGGCATGGGGGTAAGTTTGCTGAAGACCTCTGTCTTGATTCTGCTGACTCGATAGGAATTACAGAACACCTGCTCATATGTTGGATCTAGTTTGTAGGTAACTGTCACCTACTGTACTTTTTGTATCTCTGCTGATTGGTTATGAGGTTATAAATACAAAGGCATTTCTTTAGCCTCTGATGTTTACTTTGGGAGCAATGAAGTATGTGAAAATTTCGGGACTTTGGTTGCTTTAGCAAAGCATTTTGTCTTGGAAATCAAGTTGATATTTTTATGGTCTTCATTTTAGGTTTGAAGCAAAGAAGAGATGGGAAACCAAAAGCAACATGGGATATATGTAACTTTGCAGTGCTCTTCAGGACTCTTGTAGACTGGCACACTTCATTTACCAGGAAGATTTTCCTGCTTAAGTTAAATATGTCAGAAAATTGATAAAGGTGGAAAAAAAGATAAGCATAAAACTTGGGAGTTGATTATAAACTCTTTTCAGGTTATTGTTTTTCCCCTGGATTCATTTTATTGAAGTGAAGGAACATTTTCGTCTTTGTGTAAGAAATTTTAAGCATACATACAGAGAAAAAGGATAGGGTTTTATTTATTTGTATAGACCTACTGTTTAAAATCAATTTTGCGGTTAATCTGTTTGGTGTAGCATAGCCCATGAGGTCCTTGTATTTTTTTTTTTCCTGTTCTTAGTGTGACCACACTTTTCCTAGAATTGTGTTTTTAAGATTAGCTTTCGTTTAGAATGGATTAGGCATAAATACAAAAATTCTTAATTGTTACTGACTTTACAAATTATTTTGATACTATAAAATAATAATTGATTCTTTATTAGAGGCAGAATTAATATTTCATAATCCCATAGTAAAAGCAATTAATTTGCTTTTACTAGATGAAATATAGTAAAAAAGGGGGCAGAATATAGTATTTAGAGAATGATTTAAATTCAACTTTGCCTAGCTAGAAATGCTATTCTGAATACCTCTCAGCGTGTCCTTAAGTTATGAGATGATTCTTACAAGAGAAAATGGTTTAATTGTATTAGACAGAGAGTTAAAACTTAAGATAGCAAACTCTGGATTGTCTAATAGCTGATTTCATTTTTCCTGTCCTCCCCATTACTCCTTGAAAGACGGAATGGAGTAATGAGACTGAAAAGAGAGCTGGCAGCCGGGAAGTTGCTTCCTTAGGTGTGTTTTATAGCCTTAATGGGAAGAAGCTTTGAAAAGGCATGTGACAAACTGGGAAGTCCCTATGTGGTGCTACAAAAAATGAGGCACGGTCCCGATTCTGTCATACTACTTTTAGACTTAACAGTTTTATTAATTTATGAGGGTATATGTACATTTTCTCTGTATTCAGAAATAACAAGTAATTAGTTGCTCTTTGAGAGTCCAGTTGAGAAAAGGCAGTGTAGAGAGCAGTTCTAGGAGATTGTGTATCCACTGATTTGTCATGAAGGTGCCCATTTGTAGGTTAAGTGCTGTGTGCCTTCTGCATTGTATTCCAACTTTCAGTAAGTGAACACAAACAGTGTAGGGACCGTCCCTCTGCCCGCTATACAAGTTCACTGGTTTTGTCTAAAACATAAAGCACATTATCTCTGAGCAGGTTCCTGGTATGGCTAGTCTTGTCATAGTAGGGCCTCAGCAGGCCTTTTCTTGGGCTTCTGCCTTGTTTCTGTTTACCCACAGACACTTCTTTAGGGCTAGTGACTCACCTAGGGTCATTTTCTTTTCTACCCATTTTTTATTAGGATGCCCTCCATTAGAGTCTGATTTGGGAACCTCTGACCCATCGTTTAACCATCAATTCCCTCTTCACCCCACTCCAGCACCAGCAGTTTCCCCCTCAGTGCCCTATTCAGGATTCTTATGTCCACAGGAGCATTTTTAACGGATTGGAGGACAGTCTGTGGGGAGGGTGGTCAGTCATAGGAGGGGACTCAATTGACAAGGGAAGACGCACCTGAGTCCCTGCTCCTTTGGGAATATGGGTTGTAGAAAGTTTTAGAATAAACTGCTATAGCCAGAAGATATTAAGAACTAGGAGAAGAAGGTGCACAAGTGTTCGGGCTTATATCTGCTGGCCCCTTGTTTGGAACTATTTGTATTTGATCAGTTTTAATACAATTTAGAGGCTTTATTCATTAAAGCAGTAAAATGGTAGTGTTATTCCTAGAGTACCTGTGCCACCTGAGGGTGTAGTATTTGTCCTTTCCATTCTAGACACTTCATAGGGACTCTTTGTGGGTCAATAATAACTTTAGTCTTGAATCTGAATCTTCAACATGTCCATTTACGACCTCCAGAATGCTTGAATTAGAGTAGTAGTATAAATGTCAGTTATTGTTACCTGAAATTAATGTGTTTTAGGCTATCAGTACGGCATTAATGTTGTCATGATTTATGGTCTAAGTACTTTAGGCTAAAGCAGCCTACTAGAGAACAGGAATTTGTGCTCTACAGCACTAGTTTTGGGATGTAATCTGGGTAGTGCATTCTTGTTGGAAGCCCTCAGGATGTTTCTGATCTCAGCAGTACATTCTGTTTCTTTCACCAAAAGGAGAGTTTGAATATATGATCTCAGGCTTGCTGTAATTAGTTCTGATGACAGAGTTAAATATCTCAGCCAAGATTGTAAATCAGCAGTCAAGCAGGTTTCTGCAACTGACCATAAATCTCAAACACCGTATTTTAAACACTCATTTTGAGGGCAGACAGATAAAGGGGGGCAGACCTTAGATGGGAATTAAATGCTATTTGAGCTTAAGTGACAACTGTGATTCTTATATTTCAAATCTGAGATTGCGCATACCTTTTGTCTTAAGTATTTTAGTAACTTGGGTTATTAACTGAGGAGAAGTTTAAATTGCTTGTGTGTGTGTGGTGTGTGCTGTTGGGTGCATAGGTGTCCTTCTGTCACTCTCCAATTCATTAAGACAGGGTCTTCCCTGACTTGGGCTAGGATGGCAGCCATTGGGCCTCAGCAACCCTCCTGTTCCCACTCCCCAGTCACTGGGGTTACAGGCATGCATATGGTCATGCCAGCATTTTGCATGGCTTTTCTGGGCTTTGAGCTCAGGTCCTCCTTCATGCTCAGGCCTCAAGCACTGCCCAGCTCAAGAAATCCAAATTATTATATTTTTAAAATATTTTTTTATTTTTATTTTATGTGTATGAGTGTTCCTGCATGTAGGTAAGTGCACCCATATTGTGCAGTGATGCAGGGATCAGAAGAGGGCGTCGGGTTCCCTTGGAACTGGAGTTAAGGACTGTTCTTAGCTACCATGTGGGTGCTGAGAATCGAACCTCAGTCTTCTGCAAGGGCAGTCAGTGCTCTTAATCCCTAAGCCATCTCTCCAGCCTCCAAATCCAAATTCTTAAAATATGAATATGACTTACAAATGTGTACATTCCTTTTGTTAGGTAAAGGTTAATGTTAGGTTTTTAGAAATGTGTCTCATAATAACTAAAATGCTGTATGAGGCTAGTGTTTAAATAAGATGCCAGTGGTGTATTTTTTAAAGTGATAATAAAATTTGGGGAAATAAGCTGGTGTTATGTTAGGTCCCATTTTGAAAATTTAGTGCAACGTAGTCATCAGATTCAGAACCAACTGAGACAATTCAAGTTGTTTTGTGTTGGCAGAAGTTGCCTCTATTTTTAGTGTCTGGCAGGGTTACAAATGCTTTGCATGTCAATTTAATATTTTTTCAAGCCAACTGTTTATTCATTGGCTTAAAATTTGCACTCTACTAAAGTCTTAGCTCTGACTTTCATGAAACAAATAGCAATATTTGGACAAAATATGTACATGAAAATCTTTTTCCAAAAGCAAATGTAGATTGTTATTTGTGGCATTGGTGCCTTCTAACCTGGTAACAGATCTGAAAGCACTCTGTAAAGTCCAGGATTTTACAGACTCATGACAACACATTTCTTGTACGTTTCTCCCCCCTTGTGTGGCATGTGGCATACGTGTGTTCGCGTGTGTGGACATACATTTGTATGGATGCATGTGCATGTTCGTGTGGCGGCCTGAAGTTGGCAGCTGGAGTCTTTCTTGAGTGCTCTCACTTTATTGAGTCTGGGTCTCTCACTGGACCTGGAGCTTGCCATTTCTGGCTAGTCTGGCTAGCCTGATTGACCCAGGAATCCCCTGTCTCCGCCTCCTCAGGACTAGGATTACAGAAGGTCGCCATGCCTGTCCAGATTTTATGTGGGTTCTGGGGATCCAAACTCCAGTTCTCACACTTACATGGTAAGTGCGAAATCCACCGGTCCATCTCCCCAGCCCCATTTGATGTACATGCATGAATTAATCAGAACATCTTTTGAGGTTTTCAGACTTAAATTAGTGACTTTGTGGTAGCAAGTGCAATATGTTTCAGTGAGTTTCAGTGAAGGATAGACATTTTATTAATGCATATATTTTTTTTATTTTTGTTTGGGTTTTTAATAGTGTTTTTTTTTTTTTTTTTTT